TATCTTTAATAGCAACTAATAAAATTAAGTTTGTGTATCCAAGTTCATTTAAATGGGAAAGGTTATTAATAATTCGTTTTATCTTACTGCTTCCTCTAGGCAGACTTGCTTCAGCCGATCTTGTTCTTCAGAGATCATTTGGTTCAACCGAGCCGAGCTGGCCAGTAAGCAATCTATCAGCTTCTGATCCTGCTGTCGCAGAGCCTCCAAAATGTGCTCTTGGCCGTATTGTAGCAGGCTGAGTGAGGGAATAATCCAGGATTCGGATGATGACCCTTGCTCTCCCTCTCTGGACCGAGAGGAGGGAGAGTCTTGAGGAGGCGGACTCCCTTTCGGACTGGTATCAGGCTTGTCTGTCTTGAATTTGGGGCCATGATCACTGGTTGCGGGAGAGTTGCAATGTCCAAGCTCTGCTGGTGGTTCCGGGCGCATTGGACTGCAGATGAAATGACGTGGAGGTGGAGATAAAGAGGATGAACGGGAGTGGCTGCTTGGGACAAAAAGAGATGTAAGTACAGCCGGTCTCATATCATTGTTCTGAGGTCGGCCTTGTATAGAGCTAGAATGAGACAGTACTGTCGGCTCTAACGTCTCCCCGGCTTGGGTCGAAGAAGTCGAAATGTTTGGCATCAATCCTGATTCCACTACGGGGCTCGTCACATCGAACGTTGGATGCTCGAAAGTTGACACCTTCTGAGCATGCACAGGAAAGTTATTCTTGCCTTGAAGACAATGAAGAATCTCGTTGTTATCAAGCCTCAGTTGATCGGAATCTGACCGCTCCGAGGAAGGTGGTCTGAGAGCATCTTCAAAATATTGAGGTTGTTTATCTACATAGTCTGGGCGTGATTGGGGGGATCTGGTGTTGTGATCAAAACGCGGTCTCATGTTGGCGCGAGAGTTTCTTGGCTTTTCATAAGAAGCCTGAGAAATGGAGTCTTCTGGTGTAGAGTTGAAAGTATTTCCGAGCGCTAGACAAAAGAAGAACCGTTGATAAAGGTAGTTTATTTTATTCACTTGGTTCTGCTCGAATTTTGCCAGTTTATACAAGCATTTAATCGGACTTTATCCGACAAGCACAGGTAAATAAGGCAAAAAGTGACTATAATAATAGGGTAACTATGACCACTGGCAAGCTAGCAAGAGAGAAAAGTAAGTAAATTTATAACAATAATTCATTTCCAAATATAAAGGTGTACAATATCAATTAATTATTCATAAAAAATCAATAAGCTGCTTCAAGAAACGAAGAATATATTGCTTAGCTTTAGATGTACATGTAAATATGTACTCCATATTTGCTACCGACTACGAGGAATTCGAGTTCTGATAAGATAAAACATCTTTCGTACGATTTTAAGGGCCTATTATTGCATAAAGAAGAGACTTAGTCTTGTACTTACATTCATTGTGCTATTTGTCTCATCTCAGCACTTAGATTTCATAAAATTGCAACTAAGTCAGTCTAACAACACTTCATAACACTAACTTTATTGTTTTTTCCTGACGGTGTAAAAGTCCTAATTATAGATCCGGCCGGGGTGACGATGGGACACAGGCGATGTAAAACCTGGAGGTAAGATTGGATGAAAAAGCTTTTGGGAGTCGTGGTAGTCTACTTCATCTTGGGTCTAATCGCTCCAAGTCCTAGCAACGCCAGAAAACAAATGGCATATCCACTCTTACGAAATGCCCACAAATTATGCGAATAGGAAATTTACATTGACGAAGCCTAGTTTTGAGCTCAAAACTAGTGAACGCACGGAACATATTACTTGAGCAAATGAAGACAATATTGGAAAACCATTTAACCCGATCTGAAAAGTTCAGAAAAACAGAATAAGACTGAAATATTGAGCTACGAATGGTCATGTATAGAAGAGCCATTTTTTACTTTCAGGAAAGAAGGACGCCAAAACGAAGCATATTAGTAAGAAGACGTTTCCATCCTTTGGAATGTAAGAGGTTCAAATGCATACAAAGGAGTTGTATAGTCACAGGAAAAAATAACTATTCCCACTCTAGTCTTAGCAGCAAAAGAAACTAATGCAGGCTGAATGTGCATTGGTATACTCGAGTGTGGCGATTGTGAAGAGATCGACGGTCAAATGCAAGGCGGAAAATCTTTGCATGACCTAGCAGAATCAAGCATGGAAAGATTCATAGAAATTGGGTCGGAATGCGAACAAACTTAGGGGTTATGGTAGGGATAGAAGTAGAAAAAGGCAAATCAGTTGGGCTTCTAAAATAGAGGGAAGTATAGACCCAATGAAGAGCAGAAGAGAAAAAATCGTCTGAATGGATAAGAGTTAAGTGAAATCTACAGCAAATAAATGGAGAAAAGACTTCGCTTAGACTGACTTCGACATAGGAGGCGACGGTGGTGCACATTGTCCAATCATGGAGGCAGAAATAAAGTGTTAAAAGTCCTAGCATGATAGTTGCAATTACCAGATCAGTCAGCTGAATACGACAGCCAAAGAAGTCGGAGCACCTAATCGGATGATACTAGTTTATGATGACTAGTGAGAAGGGGAAGGCAAGGATGAGTCAAAACCCCATAGCATCGTTAGGTGTAGTAATTAGAAGAAGAAATGGAATAAAGAAAAGAAGATCGCGAACAAAAGTGAGATGCACATGAAATAATTAAGATGGGCATCCACCAAGTAGCAACTGGAGTATTGGACTTTGTCCAATAAGAATCCGTATTTCTGTATTTTTCACCGAATAAAATGATGGCAAATCAATGAATGACTTCGTCATTTTGTGATGCGGTACATATGAAGACGTTAAAAAAATGCAGAGGATTTTTAATAAATCCGAGCGAACATTTATGTGAGGTTTCAGCCTATTGTCAGACCAAACTATGAGTCATTAAATTATCTTAATCAAGAATTGCTGATA